TGTGACCGCCTGGAGGGGTGGGATAGGGAGGGCGGGAGGGAGGGAGACGCAAGCGGGAAGAGAAATGGGAACATATGTATATATATAACTGATTCATTTTGTTGTGAAGCAGAAACTAACACACCATTGTAAAGCAATTATACTCCAATAAAGATGTTAAAAAAAAAAAAAAAAAAAGAAAACCCCAGGCCCAGAAACTGGAAAATTCTCCCAAATATTTAAGAAAGAAAAAACACAATGTAACACAAGATCTCCTGCACTGTATAAAAAGAGACCATACCTTCCACCTCATGTTATGAAGCCAGTATTACCTCGATGCCAAAGTCTGACAAAGACACTACAAGAAAGGGAAAACACATGCCAAACTCTTCTTAACGTGGACTCAGAATTCTCTAAATAAAACACTAGCAAATGGAATATAGTTAAATATAAAAATGATCATATATAATGATCGAATTTGGTTTTGGTTTGTTTTTGTTTTTTGTTTGTTTCCTTGGCCAGGGCTGAAAACTTCTGGTAATATTCAAAAATCACTGTGATTTATGCCATTAACAAAATAAAATATCAATATCTTATGATAATGTCAATATGCTTATAGAAAACATGTGACAAATTCAACATTCATTAATAATCTTTTACTAAACTAAAAATAGAAGAGCACAGCCCTAATCTGACAGTAAGTATCTTCCAAAAAAACTATGGAAAACATACCTATTGAAATTTTGAAACCATTCCACTGTGATCAGTAAGACCATAAGGATGTCTGCCACCATGACTTCCATTCGAACTGTCTGAATTAAGGGGTCAGTTTAGGAAGGATGCTTGGATATTAGTTCCGTATGCAAAAGTAAATCAAACTCTTATTTACCAGCTACAAATAAATAGAAAAATAAATAAATACTAAAATTATACCATTTACAGTTGAATCCAAAAAGTCAAATACCTTGAAATAAATCTAACAAAAGATGAGAATTACCTTTACAGAAAAAACTACATAAAGTTACTAAGATAGTAAAGAAGACCTAGATTAATGGATAAATATACTTTATTCATAGATTATAAAGATACTCATTCTTCCCAAGTTTTTCTGTAGATTTAACACAGTCAAAATCAATACTCCTAAAGGCTTTTTATTTTGTTGTTGGAAATTTACATTCTGATTCAAAAATTTATGTTAATTAAAAGGTTAAAGAATAGCCAATGTAATTTAGAAAAATAAGAACATCTTGACAAAACACATGTCAAATTGACCTTATAATCATTCTTAACCAAGTGCTATTAAACCAATTAGATTTTAGACAAGGTGTGAGATATATCAGAATAGTTTTACAAAATAATAGAAGATCCTCAAAAAAAGAAAAGTTGTGGAGTTTGGCAAAAAATGAAATGATTGAATGTGTGTTATCCAGAGTTATTTTTATAAAATATTTCTTGCTGTTAATATGTTTATAAAACATACCAAAAAAAGCCAAGCAGATTCAAATTCTACTCTAACTTTTAATATGATTTTTTAAATACTAGTTAAAAGTTTTTGACACAAAAATTTCCTAACTGGAAGAGACTACATAACTGTGCAACAAAAGTGCCATCCCTGGGCTTCCCTGGTGGCGCAGTGGTTGAGAATCCGCCTGCTAATGCAGGGGACACAGGTTCGAGCCCTGGTCCGGGAAGATCCCACATGCCGCAGAGCAACTAGGCCCGTGAGCCACAACTACTGAGCCTGCGCGTCTGGAGCCTGTGCTCCACAAGAGAGGCCACGATAGTGAGAGGCCCGCACACCGCGATGAAGAGTGGCCCCTGCTTGCCACAACTACAGAAAGCCCTCGCACAGAAATGAAGACGCAACACAGCAAAAATAAATTAATTAATAAACTCCTACCCACATCTTCTTTAAAAAAAAAAAAAAAAGTGCCATCCCAATCAAATTTAAATAAATTAGAAAAATAAAACAAAATAATTTTCACCACTATAAAGTAAAAGACTTATGTGCAAATTACTTGGAATCAATGAAGATTATTTTCCAGCTATATAGACAAATATAGTTTCAATTTTTAAAAAAGATTCAAACTTAAATAAAAGATTTGAACAAGTGAAGCTACAAGATGCTATTTTTATTTTTATTATCTCAGCATTGTAATTTCTTAAAGAATAAAAACTTAAAGAATGCTTTGTGGATCTATATATTGCTTTAAAAATAGTAAAACTCACAATATAATAGAAATTTATGCACTAAAATTAAAATAATTTGTAGTAATTTCTTTTGTTAGGATATGTCATGTTTGACCCTGTTACAATGTTTTGAACTATGTAAAATAATGGTTTATTTCCAAACCTAAAAATTCTTTTAAAAATCTTATTGACAACTCCAGTTGCTACTATCTTAGCAGATCAGTTTCTTCACACTTTGCTGAAATATAGTCAAGGAAAAACACTTCAGGAAATAAGTGTATAATAATTAATGAATTATGTATACTTTTACTACTCATCCTAAATCACCTTTCTATAGAAACTTTAGACATGGGCAAGAGTAAACAGACTCAGTAATTTTTTATAATTTCCTGATTTTCAATTATATTCAAACCATGGATTTTCACAAATATTTTTATGAATTAATAGGGAAGGTATATTTATCAACTTAGGAGAACAGATCTATACAGTTTGCTAACATGATTGATGATTTTTAAAATATTTAAACATCAGAAGCCTGGGCCTCTGTACTCTTACCTGCTGGGCCCCAAAATGTTAGTAGTGATTCTGCGTCCAGTTTTCAAACTTTGCTCCATAAAGGAATCATGCCCCTCTCTTTCCATCCTTGAATGTCACTGCTGCTGGAAGCCGACTGTTCTTCAGAATGATTTAGAAATCTTTGGTATTCTGGGACACCATTAGCTTAAAATCCTGTTTACAAATGTGATGTTTTTGATATTAAATAGTGAAATATGTCAGCTTGTAGAACATCTGCATAACTTAGTAAGCCAATATTTTCCAAATGACCAAAACATTTTGACACAAAATCTCACACAGGTAGGAGAGCCATTCAATATATAAAATAACTCAGGGGATTTTAATGTAACAGAGAACAAAAATTTCGTTGATAAGATGTCAGATTCCATAGTACACCTTTTCTTTAAGAAAAAAAAAAGAGAAGATGAGTTTTGGTGTAAAATCCAGGAATATTCACACCCTTTCAAAGAAACCATTAAAATACTCCTCACTTTTCCCACTATAAGTGTGGGTGAGTCTGAATTTTCTCTGTATAATTAACTGAAACAACATATTGCAAATGACTGAATGCTGAAGCAGATATAAGAACCCAGCTGTATTATAAGGTAGACATTGTAGAGATTTGCAAAAATGTAAAACAATATCACTCTTCTAAGTTTGTTTAGTAAAATACAGTTCTCATAAAAATATAGTGTAAATATATTATTCATTTCAACTTGTACTAAATGTAGTTTCTTATTTTAAAATAAATTCATAAATATATTTTTTTAATTTCCTAGTTTAATTTTTAATATAGCAAATATAGAAATATGTAAAACCACATAAAAACTTTTGTGGGTTTTCAATACTTTTTAAGAGTGTAAAGAGGTATCTATATTAAAAAAATACAGAACTGTTGATTCAACACATTCCTTCATTTTTTCGCTGAGGAAACTAAAAAAACACAGAGACGATGATCCACATTATCCAAATCACAGAATTAGTAGAAATGCTGAGACAAAAATCAAGGTTTTCTGAATTCTAATTAATTATATTGGTCTCCTAAGGCCGTCCTAACAAAGTACCAAAAACTGGTGGCTTAAACAACAGAAATGCATTGTTTCACAATTTCAGAGACTAGAAGTCTGAGATCAAGGTGCCAGCAGAGTGGGCTCCTTCGGAGGTCTGTGAGGGAGAATGCCTCTCTCCTAGCTTCTGATGGTTTGCTGTCAATCTTTAATGTTCCTTGGCTTTTAGATGCCTCATCCTGATTTCTGCCTTCATGTTAACACGATGTTCTCTCTGTGTGCAGATCTGTGTCCAAATTTCCCCCAGTCATATTGGATTGAGGATCCACCCGACTCCAGTCTGACCTCATCTTTACTAATGACATCTGCAATGACCCTATTTCCAAATAAGGTCACATTCTGGAGTGCTAGGGGTTAGGACTTCAGCAAATGAACTTTGGGGGACACCATTCAACCCATAATACAAGCCCAGTGTGTTCTTCCCCCAATCCTCCTATATATCAAGAAGTATTCTCTTTCCTAATTTCCTTTCTTTTCTCCCTACTGCATTCCAGTCTCACATTCTCTCAATATATCGACAGAAATACTCATATGAAATGCCTATAGGGAAAATTGATTCTCAGGAAAGCAATCATTATAATGGAAATAGAAGTTCAAAGTCAAGTTGGCTACAAAGAGGAAGTGCAACTGAAGATCAGCCTCAGATGATTTCAATAAACAGAGGTGAAGACAGGTAACATCTCAGGAAATTAAAGAGATGTTTCAGAAAGCTAACACATTTATGAATGAAGATCACAAAATGTTATCTCGTGCATTTACAGAATGTATTAAAACCTCACGTGTAAGGAAAATGTGATTTATCAAAAATTCTTGAGTAGCTAGAATGAAGTATGAATTCCAACCATGTACCTTTTCTCTCCATTGACTATGATTTTGGGTATTGGTGAAATGTATTCTTCATCTGAAGTGATGGATTATACTGGTGGAAAAAGTGATATGTCCTATTCCCAATTCTGATAGAACTTGGTCCTCATCTACATGACAGTCTATAAGCCTTGCTCTCCTCCCTTTATAACTGCCTTCTTCTCCTTTCCCCCAAATACCCAACAGCTGATCTACTGTGAAGTAAAGGAATCAGAGCAGTCCCCAAAAGATTGTACAAAGTATTAAGAATACAGTAAATTCAAAAGACTTTATGGAATTGAAATCACTTAATAAGACACACTATCAGTCTGAATTCTCCAGAGAAACAGAACCTATAGGAACAGGAAGTTTTAGAGATTTCTTATAAGGAACCAGCTCACATGATTATGGAGGCTGAGAGTCCCAAGACCTGCAGTTAACATGCTGGAGACCCAGGAGAGCTGATTGATTGTATGGTTCCAAGTCCGAGTGCAAAGGCAGGAGATGCCTGATGTCCTGCAGGAAGACAGTCAAGCAGAGAGAGAATAAATTCGCCCTGACTCAGCCTTTCTGTTCTATCAAGGCCTTCAATGAATTGTTTTGGTGCCCAACATGGAGGAGGGCAATTTGCTTTATTGTCTACTGATTCAAATGTTAATCTAATTCAGAAAAGCCCCTCACAGACACACCCAGAATAATGTTTAAACAAATACCTGGGCATCCTCTGGCACAGTCAAGTTGACACATAAAATTAATTATGACAGGCGCATAATAGTCAAAAATGTTCTGTGCTGAGAGAGATTAAATTACTAATGCAGTTAATTACAGAGTTTTTAGCCAGAATACTTTATTAAAATCTCAATTTAGATTCTTCTCCCTTTATATGGCCCTCTGCCGACACACACACACACACACACACACACACACAGAGGCAATTTTGAAAGACCTTTACTCAGCAACTTTTTGGACAGATAGCAGGGACAGTTTGAAATAATCTGGTGCTTTTTCTTCCTTTTGTAAAAGACTGAGCACATTGAGGAGACTAATTAGCTTGCCCAGGATGGGAGGAGAGAAGAAGACAGGAGGACAAGATGGGAGTGAGAGGAAAGGTGCCCTAGACCCTGAGCAGCATGCAGAGATGGAAAGGCCTCAGCAGTGATGTAACTGGATACACAAACTGCTAGAAAACAGGATAAAATACATAATTTTTATATAAAAATAAATCTATAACGTAATAATACAAATATATAAACCAACTATTTTCAGACACTTTACCACAGGATTGTGTCCCCTAAAAGAAGAGAAAGAAATCGGCTGAGCCAGGAATAGCTTTCTGCCTGGAGGCATTTTCCAGCGGGAGCTCAAGCACAGGAGACCAAGCAGAGGGAGCTGTCGTCCTGAACTGAGGAAAGAGAGGTCAGTGGCTGTTCCGGTGGCTGAAGCATCTAGGCAGCTGCACAGGAAGAAAGCTCTAGAAATCATCATGAGGATATTTAAATGTATGCTGTGCTTGCAACACTGAGGCCACGCTAGAAATGCCCTCCCAAGCTTAAAAGCAAGCCTTTAGACTTGAGGAAATGTGACAGAAACTAAAATAGATTTGGAGCTAGCAAAAAAAAAAATTCCCAGTATGATTTCTTCTTTGATCTGTTATTGAGATGCCTATTTATAAATTTCCAAACATATGGACTCTTTCGTTATCTTTGCCTTGTTGATCTCTAACTTAGTAACACTGTACTGAGATAACGTGGTTGGTATAATGTTTGATTTACTGAAATATGTTGCAGCTTGTCCTACGGCTTAATATATTATCATTTTTGGCAACTGATTAATGCGTGTTTGAGAAGAATGCAGACTCTCTAAATTGTAGTCTGAACTACAGATATACATTTGCCAGTATATCTGGTTACCTTTAAGAATAAGAGATGCATACTTGGATTTTTTAATGTCAATAAAAATCAGTAACCTTACCCTTTCGGAATGGTCTCACCTTCAGCTGTGGGTAGCTTAAGTTGGAAACATGAGAGAAGAGCATATACTAGCTGGCAAGGTCACATGTCCACACCTGTGGCTACCTGGTCTCCCAAATGCTGCTGATGTTATTTCCAGTTGTATCTAGACCTCAGAAAACACACAAAAAAGTCAAGAGAATTAGAAAGCCCTTCAACAGAGGGGAAGGTAGCTGTGACAAATAGACATTTCAATAGGGGGAAGAAAAAGCTATTAAGATAAACTGAAGATCAAAGTGTCTGAAAGTTTCCTTAATACTAAGTTGACTAAAATAGTTTAGAAGAGATAAAGGTTTACATAAAGAAGCATAAATCTCCAAAGAGAATTGACTCAATTTTGCAATTGAGTGGCGGGCGTGCTAATATTTGGTGGATGAGATTCAGAGGCGCAAAGGAAAGGCATTGTCCTGGGAGATGCCCTAACTTTCCTACAGTCCTGGGATCATCAGTGTAAAGAATGAGACTGTGAAGTAGTCCTGACAACAAGCTCCTTCTGCCCCTCAGGATTTAGACCACAGTCTAAGCCGCATTGTCCAATACGATAGCAGGGAGGCCACAGGTGGCTATTTAATTTAATTTAAATTTTAACTTTAATAAAAATTCAATTTTCCTTTAGTTATTTCTTAAACTAAAAATGGAATAAAATTAAAAATTCATTTATTCCATCACATGAACCTACTTGAAGTGCTCAATAGCCACATACATATTAAAGAACACATCCTTCATCACAGAATGTTCTTCTGGACAGTACCGGCCTAGAGGGCACCTATGGTCTCCAGGGGGCTCTCTGTCTCAAGAGCAGGCTCAGCAGATTCTGGACAGACAGCGGGGCATCAGAAACTCTGTGCTTATTCTCCTGAGCGAAGTTTGAGGGGGATGGAAACGAGGAACGGGTCCAAGAGGATGCTGTTGTGTGAGAAGATGATTGCCTGAGGGAGAACTAGCTAAATTATAAGGGATGAAAACAAAGGAAAAGTAGAGACCTCGACAACTGAATGTCCCCCTGAGGGAAGATAAAGGAGTCAATGAGGAAAAAAGTATTCCTTTTTCCACCACTGGAGCCCCATTGGGCTATGTGGTTAATCCCTAGCACAAAAGAGGTTATCAGACAATGTCAACAGACAGAGGGTGAAGGGAGAGAGGGGTATGGAGAACCTTGCTTTTATACGTTCAGAGGGTTAACTGTTCATGACTTAGGGGGGATTGGGAGATGATTAAACTTTCGGCACAGAAGGCTCGTCTTTAAAATTTTTAATTTATCTTATGAAGCAGCTATTTGGGGATTATGGCAATTGACATGATGGTCTAAGGTAGAAACTAAAATGTAAAATGAGAACCGTCATTTACATATTCTTTCATGATAGTTAAGTACATTAAGGAAAATTATGACAGGTATTGCTTGCAAAAGCATGCTGGTGATTTTTGCAGTTTCCACACAAAAATGAAATTATGCTTTCAATAATGTTTTTCTGGTTATTGCTTTCTCTCTTTCTGAGATTCCAATTTGGTTCAGATGAATTTAAGAATATCCCACCAGTCGGGATTGACATATACAACTACTATGTATAAAATAGATAACTAATAAGGACTTACTGTATAGCACAGGGGACTCTACTCAATACTTTGTAATGGCCTATGAGGGAAAAGAATCTAAAAAAAAAAACTGGATATATGTATAACTGATTGACTCTGCTGTACACCTGAAACTAACACAACATTGTAAATCAACTATACTCCAATAAAATTTTTTTTTTAAAGATTAAAAAAGAATATCCCACCAAATAAGACTTGAAGAGTTCTGTGCTTTGTTTTCAGTTAAGAGCAGTGGGCATGATCCAAGGTCCTGAAGAGCAAAACGAGCTTTGACTTTTGGCAAAACCATCAGGAAACGCTTTCTACCAAGACCCATTCCTGCCTCTCCTGAGCAGTGAATCTTGTCTGATCCTTCCTGCAGAGCTGCTTTAGATATCCTAGATTTTCCCTTTTTGTGACTATTTGTGATAATTTTTGAAATCTCAGATATTTATGATAAATGCATCCAGAAGTTCCTTTTGATTCCCCAAGATTTGAGTGTATCACCTCTTAAGGAATATATATATACACACACACACATATATATATATATATATATATATATATATATATATCTCACAGGGAAAATGCACAGTGCATTCTGATAATGTGTTTCATCCTTCACAATTTATCCATTTGGAAACCTCTATTGGGCAAAATCGCATAAACAAGGTTATATATGAAGAATATAAACTCAAAGAAATATTAAAGTTTTCTATAAAGATGAGATGTTGTGATTGATACCTTCTAAGGGGATCTTTCTGGATAAACTGACATGACTTTGTTATCAGAATTGATTTCCATTTAGGAGGACATCCGCTTTGGCCTGATGACTTGCTATATATGAATCATCATTCCACTACCTGCAGGAAAAAAAAATGCTAGATTTCTTGTTCAGCTTAAGAGAATAAGAATTTATTGCTAAATTCTTAAGAACAAAAGTAGTTTTCTATTGCAAGTTTTATTGTCAAAGACTGCCTTTCTCTTTCCCTTCTATTTTTTATGCTCTTCATGTTCAAGGCAATACAATTGACAGTTAATCAAGGGGCTTAAGAGTTGGATGCCCCCTAGGGTGCCTGGGGCACCTGGCAAACATCTTTCTTGGTACCCTTGTCTACATGCATAATTTGAGTCACCCCAAATCTAGAAGCCAGAATAATTCTGGTGGCCAAGTCTCATATGCCCCAGGAAATAAATATTGTCCTGCCTAGTGGGAGAGATACATTTGCCTGGGAGCCCTCCTGGAAATGGGAAGACCAAAATAATGCCATAAATGCAGAGCTAAGAGCTGCTCGGGGTATCTAGTGGACCCCATGCCTGGGATAGAAGGTAAGAGAGAAAGAAAGAGCCACAAGGGAGAAACCAGGACTACAGGCTCCCATGGATTTGGACCAGGCTCAGGTAGCCCTTCTTAAACAGCACTGCCACCCAGTAGTTTCCAGGCACCCAAAGTGGACTTCAGGCAATTTCCAAATGTTATATTAAAAATAATAATATATTTGATATCTGTCATAAATGTACATGACAGATGATGTATCAATGAGAATATTTAAATAGAAACAATGAGAAAATATAATAGAAATCTACAGAAATATTATATAAAATGAAAATATTCAGTTACATCTGTCAGAAGAGATTGAGTAACCAAAATATAAGGATTTTGAGAGACAAACATAATAAATAATATATATCAACTTAGGTATACTAATGATATATATCAACCTATGTATACTAATAAGAAAAATTAACTTCAATTATTGTGAAAATTTAAGAAATTGATCTGATATCACAAACACATGGACAAGCTCCAAAAAGTAGAATAGTACATAATGTATTCTCTGACAACAGAACAATAAACTAGATGTTATCAAAAGGAAGTGGGAAGATAAAGGAAGGACTAATTTAATTACTTAAAGGGGTAAATGTAATTATTAAAAAATCTTGAGTAAAATAGAAAATCAAAATAGAAAGTACAGAATAATTTTAACATACTGGTAACAAAACAGGTTATATTAAAATATCTAGAAGTTTCACTTCTGGTTATGGTTAAGATCCTACTGGAAAGACCTTTCAAATAACAGCTATTAAGTCCTGGTCATTATAAAAAGATAGCTTCCTCATCACACAGCAGAGTTAAATGGATCGGGGACAATTCTGGTAAGGAGTACATAAATAAAGGAGAGAAGTTCCATGTTGTGCATTCACAACTTTTTTTTTCCAGGCATGTGGGCTAATGATAGCATTGGTGGAAAAATACTGTCATTCTTGACTGGGGTTCCAGAAGAATAAATCCAGGAAAACAAGGGCATTCGAGAAAGAGTTAACCCCCAAAGGGAAAGAGCCAGACTGTGGTCACCAAATTTGATCTACCTAAATCTATGAGTGACCCCAGAATAATAAACATCCAGAGTGAACTCAAAGCCACCAGCTAACAACAGATCTAAACTCAGATCAGAGCTGCTATCTGAAAAGGAGAGCTTACAGTTTAAGTCTAATCAATATAATTGCCTGATAAGTCAAATGAAATAGCATTCATCACAGAAAAATAACAGAATCCAGTGCCCTCATAACTTAAGTATCATAATATCCAACATGCAATTCAAGATTAGTTGACAGCTGACAAATCAATAAAATGATATACAGAAAATAAAAATCAATGGTCTGAGTGAATCATATATTGGAATTAACAGGATTTTAAAACAGCTACTATAACCATTCCCAAAGATGTAAAAAATATAAAGGCTTGTGATGAATCAAAAGATATAAAATATCTTTAATTAAATAAAAATCATCTTTAAAAGATAAAATGGAAAGTCTAAAAATGAAAAATACAATGTTTGAAATAAAATATTCACTAGAGAGACTTAGCAGATTAGAGATAACAGAATCCATAATTTGACCAACATCTCTCCTTCTTAATTCTATCTTGGCAGATTTTTCTTTGCTTTTTTCTTTCTTCTTCTACTTTTTTTTCCTTTTTTCCTTTTTTTTTTGTACAGGGTTGGAATCAGGAAATTGTGGATGAGAACATATTTAATTTACTAAATTAGAAATTTGGCATGCTGAGGTAAAAGCATAACAAAACATTACACTTGATCAAAAAAAAAAGGAAGGAAAAGGTGGTTATCACCAAGAATCAGGTGAAACAGCCAATCTCCTGCATTGCATACTTTAAAGCTCTTTTTAAAAAATTTACTTACTTACTTACTTATTTATTTATGGCTGTGTTGGGTCTTCATTGCTGCAAGGGGGCTTTCTCTAGTTGCATTGAGCGGGGGCTACTCTTTGTTGCAGTGCTCAGCCTTCTCATTGTGGTGGCTTCTCTTGTTGTGGAGCACGGGCTCTAGGTGTGCAGGCTTCAGTAGTTGAGGCTCATGGGCTCTAGAGCACAGACTCAGTAGTTGTGGCATGTGGGCTTCAGTAGTTGTGGCTCGTGGGCTCTAGAGCGCAGGCTCAGTAGTTGTGGTGCACAGGCTTAGTTGCTCCGCGGCATGTGGGGTCTTCTGGGACCAGGGCTTGAACCCGTGTCCCTGCATTGGCAGGATGATTCTTAACCACTGCACCACCAGGGAAGTCCCGCATTGCATTTTTTAAAAATCTCTTCTTATTAAGCAGAGACATTGGCGGTAAGGGGGTAGAGCTAAGAAAAAATGTCAGTAGCCCCACAGTTTTCTTTCCGTTTCTCAATTCATTACCTCAAGCCTCTTGCAAATTAGACTTTATAATGTCTCTCTGTGATCGAAAATCCAACTGTCTTTATTTAGCCAAGGTAAAGGCAGCAAAATTTGATTTTTTACTATAGAATATTATAACAAATCCTGTTCCATTATACTTTATGAAATCTGCTTTATAGAAACCTCTACCAGAAATTTAAATGTTTCTAGTCTCATACATAATTTCTTTCTCTCAACATTATTCTCAGGTAAAAATGGATGCAAGTATAAGTCACAATGACATCCATAAAAAATGTCTCCTGCTCATTCCTATAAAAGATCAGCCTTTGGTAGCTTCCATCTTAGAGACAGATTCAATAGTTTACTTTTATAGGCGCTGCAAATTGCAGTGGTAACATTTTTCAATTTATTTTATTTGTTTGTCCTTAATAGATGTTGCTTTTATTTTTTATTTGTACCTGTGGTCTGACATTTCCTCTGCATCCATTTCCAGAACTTCTGAACCATAAAGCAATCCATGAGCGGATCCCAATCAAGTTGCTGACCACATCTACCTGCAATCAATGATAGTTTCATGTCACTTGAATTCTACAGAAGCAAAAACAAACAAACAAAAACAACCAAAATTTGTTAAGTCAAGACATTCTTAAGTTGGTATTAGCTATTTCTGGAAATTCATTTTCGTACGGGCTTTGACTCCAAGCTCTCTGTGGAGACAGGCAAAATGTCATGCTGGCAAAGTCTGTTTTGTACTAGTCTCTACTTCCTAATTCTGTGTCTCTCTCATCTAGTGGTGCCTCCTGGCCTCACCTGCTCATCACTGATTCTAGTTCTGCCTTAGAAGGTTTAAAAATTTTTGATTGTAGACATTTTCCATATTTAGTTGGAAATAATGAAGAAACTTCGTACAAATATGTTGCATACAATCTAAAAGAGAGTAAAACTTCCAACCACAGATCCAGCTCCAAATGGATAATTTTGGGTATCAAATTGACTGATTGTCTCTTGATTCCCCTGATATCAATCCGGCAGTGCAACTGAACTGTGGGTTATGCTGCCACACTTTTGTGGATGCTAGGAGAAGACACGGGTTTCCTGAGTCAGAGATGAAGTAACTTTTATTATTCAGTAGCAAGAGTAACATGATTTTTTCCACCAATTTTGCAAGTTCCAATTTCTCCCAGGGTACGCGAGGGAGACTAGGTGGTATCTGCACACACAGTGGGTTGTGCTATAAGAAAGAAATCCGGAGCTTAGGTAAACCAAATTTTTATAGTAGTAAGAGGAAGACATTATCATTAACTTGACTGCACTAGACAGTAAGCATGCCTACCCATTGCTCCAGAGGGAGAGACACTACTTCTAATTTCTAGGGCTATTAGCTAAACATCCTTGAAAAAATAATCCATAATTAAAGGCAGTTAGTGCCTTGCTCATAAACCGGGTAGAAACAAGAGAGATCTGTGGATAATTATCTTCCAGCAAATACTTAGCGGCTTTTATTTTACAAAACCTTTTTTAATTTTTGACAAAGTACCATCAAAATAAATCCATAAAAATTCTGAACACATTCAGGTTTCAGGCTATTTTTTAAGTCATTGAAATTTAGAAGGTTTGAGAGAAGAGTAGTTTGCTTGGCATACATAATGGGATTGTTTCCAAATAATACCAAGTTCTCTTGTCAAGTCCACCAGAGAGTCAGTGACTTCAGCGAGACACGAAAATGTAGAAATACCTGCTGATAAGTCAACTTGGTTAAAGTTAGCAGGGAAGACCCACATGTAATAGACGCCATTGTTCTCTGAGAGAAGAGACCTTTTAAATCACGATAATGGGAAATGGGGCCTGAAAGACAGCAATAACAAATCCTAACTGGTATTAGGTATCCAATCAAAATTGATCCTAAAACCATGGGACATATTTTCCTGCAAAAATATGTAATGTTTAGTGTTTCAACTCTCCAGCAGAATAGGACATATATTACATAATTTCAGTAGCACTGAAGTATTAAGAAAAGTGACTATGTACATTCATAACAAAAGGCCCAAATTAAAGCTTTTTTATAAGAAAACATTTGCGTAAAATTGATTTTCAGCATTATCTGTAAATTGCAAGAAAACTAGCTTGCAGTGGGGAGGATAAAAAGATAACTAAATGGGCAAATACTTAGCTTTGTTTTTCAAATACCTGAAAAGTTGAGTTTTTCTATTTTATATGAAAGTGTGTCTTTAAAATGTGGAGCCTAATTAGCAAGCAATAAACCTGTCTTGCCAAGTGGTTCTAAAGGTCTAGCTCATTAATAATATAAGAAGAATCTTCATTAAGCTAGAATACATTGCTACTTTAAATATATTACACATGATCTTATAATTTTGGGTTTTATAGTTTTAATTGAATGTTTGCACCACTTATAATGTCACAGCCTTTATGATTTCACTTAACAATTGCCATCTGAAACTTTTCACATTATCCTGTAAGTCTTAACAAAATGTGTGTGTGTGTGTGTGTGTGTGTGTGTGTGTGTGTGTTTTCACCTAGGTTTCCTTTTTAAATAAAAAGATTAGGCTTTTAGACAGGCACAACAAAAACATTATTTTCTGGTTTTAATTTTCCGGCAATGACATTAATTATTTATTCCACAGTTACTGAACACCGGATATATATAAAATATCATGCTTATCACTGGCATACTTAGATAAATATGTCACAATCTTGCACTAGTGAAATTTACAAGCAAGTAGTTGATTCAGATATGCAAACAATATTTTCCTAAGAACAATTTTTCCTAGCTTGAGCTACATAACTCCGAAATACTTTTTTATCAGATAATTTTCATTTTTAGAGCTAAATGGGTCTTTAAAACTCATTTAATATAACTCCTTCAGCTTTTAAATAAGAATAAAGAAGTCCAGGAAGATTGTTATTTGTCCAAGTGTCCCTGTAACCCTGGAATTAGAAATAAATCTCCAAATTCAAGTCTAAAGCTTTTTCTGTTGGTAAAAATATCTGAAGCACAGTACTTATGGTAGATCACCAAACCTTGAAATATTTGTGGTAAGTAGCAAAGACACCTCCTAAGAATGATTTTCTCATTTTTATATAAAATATGATTTTAAATAAATATGAACAAATTTGATATTATTAAAAATTATGGTTTGTTAATAACATTTTATTTTTAAATTATCATTTGTTATAGTTACCAGTTTGCCAAACTACTTTAAAATAATTTTAATTAATTTACGCTCTATAGAGTTCAACTTAATTATACATATTTATACTTACTGTATACTTATTTATATTTATATATTATACTTATTTATCAGTATACATATTTATACTTATTCCTGTTTTGTACTCCCCTGAAAAATTATTAAAGGACACATACTTGAAAAGTACTTCAGACATTTAGATGAGGGGAAAAAATTCATGAAACTCAAATTTGCTTACATTTGTATCAATAATTATTAAAAGACTTAGCCTAATGCACACAAGTTAAGGGTATGTTACCTGCCTAAAAGACATCAGTGCTTTAAAAAAGGGCCAATGTCATGTCAAATACACCTTTTGTCTGCTCTGTGTATCAAACACTACTACTAAATAATAGCTCTTTTGTCTCTATGGTCCTTATGAATAGAACATGTATATTGAGAGTTTTTGTATTTTTGCTTTCATCTATAGCTGTAAGAGGCACAGAATGTCTCCCCATTACCAAGGGAAATGTCAGAAGCCAAAATATACTTGATCAGTATAAAACGGCTACCAGTCTAGACCATTAAGGCCCCCAAAGGTCCACATATAGTAGTACATTTGGCTGTGTACTTTGAGATTTCATATACTTATATTGATCAATTATCAACTATATATTACATATAATATGTTTAAATATGCACATACATAACATTATTAATTATACTTATCAATTATATTATCAATTGATCAAATATATGTCAATACACAATTGATCAAATATGTATTAATTATATATAAATACATATACACCTATACACACATATATGTATTCAGTATTTATTTGAAATATTTCTATCTAGGTCCAAAGAGAACTCTAGCGGAGGATATCTGAATTTAGCTTGCAAAGGAGTGGTTTAATTATTCTTTTGGTTGCTAAACTGGATCAGAGACCAATTCCAATGTGTGGGGGGTGGCTTTCCCCCCACACCACCGAGAAGTGCTTAGGACATCAGCTGGGTTTCCTACAGTTCAACACAGTGTTGACACTATCTACCAGGAAATAGCATCTGTTCCACAGGTTACGGGCTCAGTCTCACAAGATCATCCTCTACCTCAGGGGCCAATCGCAAGCCTAAGTTAACACCTGTGCATCTGACCAATCGGCTATACACTGAAGGTTACGAGGATCCCCCTCCTCGGATTTCAGATGCTAGTTTCAAGTCCAGGCTGTAAACTGTACTTCTGACTAACTGGCTCTAAAACAGAGGTTCCCATGACCTCCTCCCCCTTTGGATTCATTTAATTAGCTAAAGCAACTCAAACTCAAGGACACATTTACTTACATTTACCAGTCTATAATAAAAGGATATGATAAAGGACACAGATGAACATCCAGATGGAAGACATGTGTAGGGCAAGGTATGCGGGGAGGCGTGTGGAGCTTCCCCGTCTTGCCAGGGCTCATCACTCTCCTGGCATCTCCATGAGTTCACCAACACAGAATCTCTGAACCCTATCCTTTTGGGTTTTCATGGAGGCTTTATTACACAGTCATGACTAACTAAATCATTGGCCATTGGTGATTGATTGCACCTCAGCCCCTCTGCCCCTCCCAGAGGTTATGTGCAGGGGCGGGGGATTCTGAAAGTGCCAGCTGTCTGATTACAGGGTTGGTTCCCCTGGCAACAAGGCAGCATTCGTTACCTGAGGGCTTTCCAAAAGTCACCTCATTAACAACATAAGATACCTTTATGGCTCCCATCACAGGAGATTACAAGGTTTTAGAGCTCTATGCTCTAAAATAGAATGGGGTCAAAGTCCAAGTATAAATTTTTCTTGTTATAAATCACAACATCCCAGTCCCAAAGTACAGTCTAGCACCAATTATATGAAAAATTCTTTCCAGGATAAAAAATTATATGCCAATCAGAGGATTAAGATTTTGGAACTAATGTTGTTTCCTCTGTCACCTGACCTGAACAACATGCTGAAAACAATACAGAGCAGTGATGATTCAGATGGAGGCATTTCCTAGGCTTGGACAGCAAGCTGGATGGCATCTGACATCAGTAACGTATTGATCCCACAGGAATACACTGTTATAGTCAATATCATAAACTGAAGGTTTAAAAGCTTACATTCTCTACTCAGCCAGCAACTACTGTGTACCTATGTGCTAGGCACATTTCATTTATCATGAGTGTAGGCATTATTTACCTAATTTTGAGTATAAATAAATTGACATTGACCCCAGAGTGGTTCAGTGAATTGCTTAAGGAGACAAAGCGAGTCACAAAAAGAAGTTCTTTCTAGACATAAAATTTAATGTCTTTCCCTATGTTTGTTTGCCCAGGTAATTTGAGGTAGTAACACATTCCCTTGGCACTTCCTCTGCTATGATATAAACCCCTTGATCAGCAGCAATACTCTATGGAACACTCGGATGGTGGCCAGGGCCTTCAGTGAGCACATGGATGTGGTGCTAGCAGAAGCATTGTGGCAGGGAAGACAGATCCACCTGCAGGATACGTGTCTCTCTCAGTGAGGATGAATCAGTGTAATCAATCACCCACCAGGTACCCAGGCTGGTACCCCTGGGAACAGTGCCATATTAGGGGCTCAATAGCATTTACTGTTAGCAAGTTAGACACTCATCAGTAGTGGTAGCCAGGTCAGGTAAAGGAAAAGGAAGACTGTGCTGTAGATCTCATGCATCACTGCCACCATGACACATCATTCATGAGCCTATTATGCAAACACTGGGTTGGCTGATGAAAGTGGTTGACTGACATCCTCAGAGTGCTTCATTTTGTCCTTTTAATTATTAACAGCCTCCTTAAGATACCCTGTTGTTGTGGTATTCACATGAGGCACAAATATCTTCACACTGTGCCAACTCCAAGTGACCCATCTATCTACCTGCTTCTCCCCCAGACTTCCTTTTTACCCATCTTACAATCCTGTTCCTTCCAAGTACCCGACCATCCAGTGCAAAAGGATAATCAAAATGCTGAGAGTGCTCTGAAATGGAGCCTGGAGACCACTGAGGAAGTGTGACTTATGCACATCTCAGCAGGATGGAATCTGACCTTCTGATCACTTATCTTCTTATGGCAGGCATCCAGAACATCTGCACAATGTTCCAGAAACTCAAGACACTCATCGGACCCTTATACTAAGATAACTCAAGGTAGCTTATCTGCTTATCAGACCCTTACCCCAAAACAACATGGGACAGCCATCTTTTAAGGACAAATACTTCCTTTCTTGTGTCAGAGTGGAGCCTCATGGTTTTTGCAATTATAAGCCCTGACTATCTCTTCCCTGGAACATGTTTTCAGTTTTACCTGGATCTGTGTCTCCCAAATTGCAATTCTTAAGACTCCAAATAAATTCTTTTCTTACTTGCAGCCTTCTGTATTGTCTTTTTTTTTTTTTTTTGCTTTGGTTGACATCAGTCAAACTCTTAGCAACTTCCCTCAAAACACCGTAGATATATATTCTGGCAACTCACTCCAGATAATCTAACCAAACAAATTTTGGCCAATGGGAAAATGTTTCCTTTACTGCTATCCTTCAGCATCATGTCTGAGTTGAGCTATAATGCTGTAGTCACCCACTTTCAGTTGGTACCAGCATTTCTTGCAGACCTACTTATTTTCAAACTATACCAAGTTTTTTCTTCTTCTGTTACCTGGTCATAAGCTACTTCCTATGACAGACTGAGAGAGAGGAGGCAATGTAACAGGAATGGTACTGAAGGAGTCTGAGGCACCCATCGCATAATGTAGTTCTGAGTTCATTGCCTTTCATACAGCCTTTCCAGTTGGTGACAAAGTGCTACTGCTTATACCCACCTGTATGGCTTACTGAGTAAGATAACATCCAGTTCATTACAGAAAACTTAGGCTGCATGGGCAACTGCATGGTATTCCACAGTTAAGCATTCACTCTCTAACAATGCCCAGTAGCGAACACGGTAGCTTTTACCAAGCCCTGTAGCAAACACAGCACAAGGCCCAAATACAAGGAATTTGTGTATATCTGTGCACACAGAACAAATACCAGGAATTTAAAACAGTAATATTAAATACATTTAATGATTTAAAGGAATAGGCAAAATAGGAAAAGTGTCATGAATAATTCCACTCTTATACAATTTTCCCCAAATTGATCTATAGATTTCACACAATTCCAATCGAAACTTCATGAAGCTTTTCATAGAGATTAACAAGCTAATTCTAAAATTTAAATTGAAATGCAAAGAACATAAAATAGCTAAATAAACTTTGAAAAAGAGGAACAAAGTTCGATCCTGACTTCAAAATTTAATTTAAAATTATAGCAATCAATACTGTACAGTACTGCTATGAAGATAAGTATCTAAATCAATGAACACTAAAGAAACTAGAAATTGTGCATTGGGAAATGATAGTCCTTGTACCACACAGTCCCTGAATAACACATGATCCATATAGAAAAAAATAATTAAACTTGACTCTTATCTTAGACTTTATAAGAAAATTAAATCACAATGCATTATACACACATTAAACATACATGCTAAAATTCCAAAACTTTTAGAATACCTAGGAGAAAATACTTCAGTCTTGGAGCAAGCAAAGATTCCTTAGCTAGGTAACAAGAAGCAAGACCTTCAAAATAATTGGGAACATGAACTGAATCTAAATTTTAAAAAATTTGCTCTTTGAAAGTACATCGATAAAAAAAATAAAAATGCAAGTAAAGATACGAACGTCCTGTGTATGCTTGTGTATTCTGCACTCTTTATTAGATTAACAGAAAACAAGCATGGAATAAATAAAATTACCAAAGCAAAATGTCAATTCTATAAAAAGACCAAAAAAAAGAAAAAGAAAAAAAATTGACAAATCTCTGGCAAGTCTTGAAAGAGGGAGAAAGAGAGGAGAGAGAGAAGAGGCAGAACATAAAAAATTATTAAGATATAAGAGGAATATAACTCAGACATCACATTAAAGACATTAGAGTACAATTTTTTAAATTTTATTTATTTTTTATATAGCAGGTTCTTATCAGTTATCTATTTTATACATATTAGTGTATCTATGTCAATCCCAATCTCTTTATTGATAGGCATTTAAGATAACCTAAATGGAGAGCTATACCATGTTTACAGACTGAGAGTTTCAGTATAATAAAGATGTCAACTCTCCCCAAATTGATCTACAGTTTCAATGCCATTCCAGTAAAATCTCAACAGATCTCAACAGGTTGTTTATGAAGTCTGGAAAGCTGATTTTTAAATTGATGTGGTAGAGCAAAGGGCCTAATTTTTTTTTAAAGTTTGTTAAATAACAAGGTAGTGAGAATTGTCTTAACAGATATCAACATAATGCTGTGCCATACGCTATGATAACTAAGACAGTGTGGTATTAATACAAGCATAGATATGCGTAAACAAGGGGATAAAACAAAGGTCCCAGAAACAGACTTACCCATAGTCAGTGGAACGTGCTTTATCGCAGAGCTGGAATTTCAGATCTTCGGGGAAAGATCTATTTTTCAATAAATGGAGCAGCGATTAGGAATCTACCTATAGAGAAATATGAAATTAGACTCCTACCTCTCAAAATACATAAAATTTAATTCTAGTGTAATGAAGATCTAAATATGAAAGGCAAAATTATAAAATATTATAAGATAATAGAAGAAAAAATGCTATGACCTTGGGAAAGAAATGGATTTTTTAAACAGGACACCATAGCATATATTGAGGAGGTCACAAAACGTTGAAGCTATAGCATTAGAAGGATCTTCCATGTAGACTTTCAAATATCCTAGGATATATGGAGGACATGGAGTAGAGAAAAAGAAAACATTGGTTAGAAGAAGGAAGACAAAGAAGCAAAGGCCAAAAGCCTCTATGATTTATGAAAGTAGCCATTAAATCAGAAGACGACAAAAATAGAGTGGAAGATGGAAGTATGGCGCATGGCATGAGCCTCATAAAGAGGATAAGATTTTGCACACAGGAGGACGTATAGAACCTAAGAGCAACGATGGAGTGCTAAGAGAATGGCTGCCTCTTGGTGGTACATAGAGTATGGGGAGAAATAATAAACCAGAACTCAGGAGTGCTGGCTCCCTAGGAGATTGTACCTTGGGGGAGCATTGGATTTCCTTTCTGCCAAAGGGTTAAAGAGGACAGAGAAGGACTAAGAAAATACGTGTATTTATTTATAATGGTTTGCTCATCACAGAGGCCATAGTAAAACTGAAATATACATGGGAAGAAGATAGCAGTGGAGGAAGTACATAGTATAAAGACAACTATAGGGACTTCCCTGGCAGTCCAGTTGTTAAGACTCCATGCTTCCACTGCAGGGGGCATAAGTTGGATCCCTGGTTGGGGAACTAAGATCCCACATGCTGTGCAGTGCTACCAAAAATAATTTTTTTTTAATTTGTAGAAAAAATAAAGACAACTATAACTGAATTCATTGCAGAACTTAAATAATAATAATTATTGCTAGCATAACATGACAAGATGAGAAGCACTGCAGAGTTAATTGACCCAGTTCATAGTCCCAGGAAAATCCCATGTGTTGTGTGAAGTATAACAAGGTCAACAGTGGGAGCACTTGTTTAGATGTTCCCAAACAGGTAGCCACTATGGACACTGAAACAAAAGGAAAACTGGGCTCTGAAGAGGACTCAGCTCAAAAGAGGGAAGAGGTGTGCATGAAGGCAGAGTATTGCCCTGTCAGATGCATACATCTGGCATCTCAAATTTTTCACCACTCTGTGCATGTTCACAAATGACCATGAAAGTGTTGCAGTATTTATTTTAGGTTATAACTAAATTTTAGCAAGTAAATGAATTATCAACTATGAAATTTATGGAATATTTCCACAAGCAATGAGGATAGACTGTATATACTAATGGTCTGCAAGATTTGGTCTTCAGATGTCTTTTGTTGGTCCTAATAATGATTATCAATAACATGCTAAAAACAGATCACATTCTTCACTTGTTTAAATACTTTTATATTTAAATATTTATATATAAATCTCTTTATGTATTTTTAAATTGGAGATTTAATACTTTTTAAATGATGGATTTTAGCTGCTCTTTAAAATTTGGAGGATGTCCAACAATTAGGTTCCAGCTCCAGTATGGCAGTAAAATCCACTAGACCTAAATAGTGGCTGAACACTTTGGAGGGACAGGGCCTGTGCTCTCCAGTTCCATCTTTTGAAACACCTGCCTGCTACATTAACTGACATTCGTCAATGTTGGTGTTGAGTTTGAGATCCCTGCTTTAGAGGTCTTTAGCACAGTCTTGTTTTTCTCCACAAGCAAACAACCTATACCAGTAATTCTAAATCATGCTTGCCTTAGAACTTCCCAGGAGTTGCCATTTCCTGAGGATTCACGCACTGATGGCTGAGCAAGTAAAACTCTTCAACTGAAACACTGCCCTTTACTCTTTGTTCAGGAAGACCTGATTTCCTAGGAAATGTGTCTAATATTATTGGATAAGAAACACTTTTCAACTTACAACTTTACAAATAAATTTCTTAGGCTCCCTTAATTTAGTGAGTTGATACAATTCTGAATAAATTTAGTTCTGCCTCTAGGACAACCAAGTCTTGAAGAGAAAATTCTTCCAATATTATAATTCTAATCCCAGAGAATCCTATGTCATTTCCATTGGTTTGGGTTATTTCAAATACTAACTACACCTCTTATCCTGTTAATACCCAACCCCTTGCACTGTAATTCCAACATTTGAGTGGCCATTGCAAAGGTGTGCTTAGAGCTCAGTTTCTAGGGTAATGATTTTATTTAAAATGTCACTGAGTCTTTGCCTTATGTCTAAAATCCAATATGGTGTTCCCTAAAATGAACACCAATTAGAGCTAAGTCTAAAGTGGCCAATCTGAGCATAGGAAACATTCAAAAGAGATACAAGTCCAACACAAGAAGCCTTAAAATATAATTTAGATATTTATTGTATTTTTTTAGGAGGAAGCATCATGAAGTAAAACTATCTTAAAATCCTCTTTAGATATTTCTCCATCTTACTAGAGGTTCATACAAAGCACTGCTTTTAAATACTGCCATCTTCTTTCTTCAGTCTCCCTTTTCAATGCTGTGAGGCTCTTTCGTTGACATCCTTCCTTTTATAAGCAGTAGACAAGAACTACTTTAAAGTCTCACCAACCAATGTACAATATTACTCTGAGCCTCACTCCTCTGAGTCTCATCACACTAACTTTGAAATTTTAAAAATGTACTATGGTTGAATGCCTATCTATTTCCTCCCCTACACTGGGAATTATTTTAAGTCAGAGACTATGTCTTTAGTATCTCTTGGGACAAGCTGATAGCAGGTATTCAACATATGTTAAAATTGAATGTCCACTAGTACCAGGTTTTTGTCAGTGGAACACATGTATGTGTTCAGTAGAGATTTTCAATTTATTAGGCAATGGCATGTTAGATTCAGAGAAAGTGGTATCAACTTGAAGATTTGGATTGAAGAAGCTTAAAACTTTTGCAGCCCAGGCAGTTAACCTTGAAGATTGATGGAATACTATTTTTAGATCATGAAAAAAATATAGGCAGTTGCTTTATTTTTTTAATAGTTATTAATGGTAGCTGTCAGGCATACAATTATTGACTGAAGATGAGTCAGACTGGCCATAAAAAAATGTGTGTCCTGAACACAAACGGAAGAAAAAAGGTCCTGTAATTGTTATAAGCTCACCAAAGAGAGTCTACTAATTAAATAGTAGAGTGTTTACCTGTAACAGCCATTATAGGAAACTAATGAACTTGTTCAAAGGATGCAAACAAGTTCTCACCTGCTCTGTCAGTCAATAATACTGGAAAGAAGCAATTTCCATCACTGTAGGGACCCACAAGTTAATTCAGAAACCACCAGATTTTAATGAGCCTCAAAGCCAACATACTGGGTGGTAAAGTTCAGCCATCAACCTTTTTGTCATATAAAAGTCATTTTTAAAATATAAAATATGGCATAAAATTGTACAAGTCTCTACATCACTCATTCTATCTAGAAAAGGAAGGGGAGAAAAGAGAAAAAACAGACAGAAAGGTGGTCTGTTTTGCTAGGGCTATACTGCACTCAACAAAAAGCAGAAGAAACTGATTAAAAATGAATGAGTTAATCAAAATCTCATTGTTTACTGTATATTCAATAGTCTTATCAGAAAACATTAACCATGGCACATAATGAGAACAGAGTAAGCAAGAAAGGTCCCTCTGCCCCATGTATACTAGTACATGATATATTAGTATTCTCAAATGTATAGCTGTTTCTATAAAAATATATTGTTTTAGAATAGAAAACTATAAAATTACATTCAAAACAAGTATTTAACACTGAATTATATGAATAGTTGTGTTTACTGTAAAATGAAGTTATGTAGAACAATTGATTTATAGTTAATTAATATTATGTTCTCTGAGACACTAGTCCACCATCTTCTTGGTCTGCTGGCTTTCCAAATAAAGTCACTATTCCTTTTCCCAACAACTTTTCTTTTGATTTATTGGCCTTTGGTGCAGGGAGCAGTACTAGCTTGGACTCAGTAACAATATGAATTCTTTTATTTTTTTTCCTGATTTTTTGCACTAGCTAGAACCTCCAGTAAAATGATGGATAAAAGTGGTGAGAGAGGACTTCTTTACCTTCTGATTTTAGAGAGAAAACATTTGGACTTTACCCATTAAATAAAATGTTAGTTGTGAATTTTCATAGACGTTCTTTATCAGGCTGAGAAAGTTCCATTCTATTCCTAGTTTCCTGACAGTTTTTGATAATAGTAGATGTTGGATTTTGTTAAAATTATTTTAGAAAACAACATGAAATAATCATATTAATTTTCTTTTGTAGTTTCTCATTATGCTGAGTTACACTGATTTATTTTCAAATGTTAAACTAACCTTGCAATCCTGGATAAAACCCATTTGGTCATGATGTATTCTTTGTATAATGTTGGATTTGATTTGCTAAGTTTTTGTTAGGAAATTTTTCATCTATATTCATGAGGAAAATTGTTCTGTAGTTTTCTTTTCCAATCTCTCCCTTTATGGTTTGGGTATCAGGGTAATTCTGTCCTCATGGAATGAGTTGAGAAGTATTTCATCTTCCTTAATTTTCTGCAAGACTTAGGGCAGAATTAATATTATTTTCACTTGAATGTTTGATTTACTAACGAAGTCTTCTGAGTCTAGAGGATTGTTTGTTTTTGTGGGAAGGATTTTAACTATAAACAATTCTATTAATAGGTACAGGGCAGCTAAGATTATTCATTTTTTCTTGAATTAATGTTGGTAAACTTCTGTAGTTCATCTAAGTTGTTTAATTGCATTTATCAACAAACAGTTGTTCATAATATTCCTTTACTATCCTTTTAATACCCGTAGAATCTGTACCGATTTCACCTCTCTCATTTCTGATTTTGGGAATTTGTCTCCTCCCTCTCCCTCTCCCTTTCTCTCCATCTCCCCCTCCCCCATCTTCTGTCCTGTCTCTCTTCTTCTCCTCCTCCTCCTTTTCCTACCCCTCCTCCTCCTTCTCCCCCTTCCCCTCCTCCTTCCCTCCCTCCCTCTTCCCCTCCCCCTCCTCCTCCCCTTCCTCTCCTTCCTCTTCTTTTCTTCTCCTCCTCCCCTTCTTCTTCCTTTCTTCTTCTTCTTCTTCTTCTCCTTCCTCTTCTTTTCTTCTCCTCCTCCCCCTTCTTCTTCCTTTCTCCTTCTCCTTCTCCTCCTTCTCCTTCTCCTTCTTCTTCCCCTTCCCCTTCTCCTTCTTCTTCTTTTCTCTCTCTCTCTCTCTCTCTCATGCCTGGGGTCTTTGCAGAGGTTTATCAATTCGAATTTCTCAAAGAACCAGTTTTGGGTTTCATTGGTTTTCTCTTTTTTGGCTTTTTCCCCCCTATTTTATATTTCATTGATTTCTTCTCTCATCTTTGTTATTTCTTTTTGCTTGCCTTGGACTTGACTCTTATCTTCCTCCCTTTTTCAGATAGAAGTTGAGGTCCTTGATATATATTTTTGGGTTTTTTTTCCTGAAGTTCTGTAGGTTTGATGTACTCATCTCTCTCTGTTTCACTTGCATACATCTATTTAATTAAATATCTTGAACATCAAAAATGACTTTAGAGAAGAATGCAACATTTGCCCTTCCTGGTTAACCCAGAAATAACTTAAACCTTTTTTTTTCCTAGTTTCGAATATTTTCCAGGAGTTTTCTTAATGAGGGGGATGCTATAAATAGGTAACAAAGATGATCCAATCACCCAGAATTCTCAAAAAAAAAAAAAAAAACCTTTAAAATTTCCCCTTTGTCTATATCAAGATATAAATAAACTTAAGGTAATCCTCTTGATCACTTTCCTAATATTGTTTCTTAGATGGTCCTTAAACTTCTTTAAGTTGATTTTCTCATGATTTTGAATAAATTTTATCAATGCTTCCCCATCTTTTATCCTTTTTCTCTTTCTCCTTAGACTTCTTGGACTTCTGTTGTATCAGTTTTATAAGTATATACTGAAGTTAGATTGCTTGGGTTTATATGATATCTCTATCATTATTCATGGCTGGACCTTAACCTCTTTAGCTAATGCTACATAACACATCACTCAAAGCTTAGTTCTTTAAATAACAATTTATTATTATTTTATCTCTTGATTTCGTAAGTCAGGAATTCATTCAGTGCTTCTCTCTGTTCCATGATATCTGGGGCTTCATCTGTGATGACTTGAGTGACTGGGGGCTGCAATAGCTGGGTGATAGCTGGGGGTCTTCCTTTTCCTCCATGTGTTCTCTACAGATAACTAGCACATGATGGCCTCAGTGGCTCAAGATAACAAGGAAGACATTGCAGTCCTGTTAAAGGCAAGCTTGAAATTGGCATAGTATCAATTCTGTCATACTCCATCATCAAAAAAGTCACAGGTTCAAGGAGAAGGGAAACAGACCCCATTACTCTAGGAGTGTCAAAGAATTTGCAGCCCTTTTTAATGCACCTCTATGTATATCAATAGATACTAGTATTCCTAGACAACTCTGTAATTATGTAACATTGTCATAGTCATTAAATTAAGATGGCTTTTCCTTATAAGCTATCTGGACACCAATACTTTTTAATAAAGGTTAATTGTTGACTGATTATAAAGTTTAGCCATGCATTCTGTTGAAGATTTGAAAAGCATAGTAAAAATTGAAGAGGAAGAAAAATTGGAACATAATCCATCCAGAGGAAGCCACTCTTAGTTTGTAAAGTTTCTGCCAGTGTTTTAGTTTCTTTTTAAACTTTTTTTTCTTATTATAATAGAGATAAATGTTAAAATTTTGATGATAAATGTAAAAGAAAAAACCCTACCTTAGAAATAATCAAGGATAACATTTTATTATATTCCTTCTTAACCTTTTTTTACTACACTTATACTATTATGCCTCATTGAAATAATATACAATATTTATATTGTGCTTCTTTTTGTATTTCTAAGCATTTTTCTCCTAACTGAAATACAATTAAACTCTTTCACTTATCAAACATATGTTGAGAGCCTCATATTTCAGACAGTCTTCTAGGTTGTTGGGAAACTTATATTCTAGTGAGGGAAGACAAACAACAAACAAATTAATGAGAAAATACAGGAAGTGATGATTGCTGTAAAACTAAACAGGGTGCTGAGACTAGAATTGGCTGCTTTGGCTGGACAGTCAGGAAAGCTGTCATTTATGAGATGCTATAGAAGTTGTGATCTGAATGATAAGGAGCCAACCATGAAAAGATCTAATAAAAGAGAATCCCAGGAAGAGGAGGCAGCAGATGGAAGTGCCCTGAGGCATTAATGAACTTGGTCTGTTTGAAGAGAAGAAAGAAAGCTATTATGGCTGGAACATGCTGAGCAAGGAGAAGAGAAACACATCATGTAGCTGAAGAGTCAGAAAGAGCCAAGACCACATAGGACCTTGGAGACAGGGTAAGGAGACTTAGAATTTTATCACAAGTGACATAGGGATCCCAAAAGGATTTTAAACAGGGTTTTAATATAACCCAATTTATTTTTTTAACATCTCTCTGGCTACTGTATGAAGAATGAAATATAGAAGGTCCACTGAAGAAGGCAGGAGACTAGTTCAAAGACTATGATAGTAGCCTAGCTGTTGAGTGTTGGAAATAGGGCAACAAGCATTTATGAAAAGTAGTCATACTTCAAATATGATTGGACAACTGACAATACTCCCCTATGCATTGGATCTGGCAGGAGCAGGAGGGAAGGAAATGTAAATGTAATGATTATGAGAACTAGATTATCATAGCATATTTCCATTCTAAGTCAATTATGCATAATATATTTCTATTTTTTCTAGAGCTATATGAATAATAAAGTCATATATTTAAATATCATCTATCTTTAAGGTTCATATGCTCTCATTATTGGTATTTTTTAACGAATTCAACTTCAACTGCTCTGTTGAGAAAGCCGGGAAAGTTAATGTCTTGCAGATGAATGGACTGTCAATGCAGAAACTCACTACCACATAATATTAAAATATATTGATTTTTTTTTAAGAGAAAGACACCAGACTTGGTAAAATGTGACAAATTATAAGCTACTAAAGTAGTGATAGTTAGATTTTAGTGTCATGTGGAAAAAAAAGAGTCAATAATATTTTGCATTTACTATACAATGACCTCGGGTACTTTTTTGCTAGTAGTTGAAGGTTCAAAAGCATTAAGCAAGGGTTTCAGCTTGATCTAGAGAGACACGGTTTTGCACAAGAGAAGAGAGTCCTGAACTCTGTTCACCGGCATTTTACACAATTCTTCTTGTCTATGTGGAATCTCTTAACTACAGAGCTATGACTTAGAAAAGAAGCTCAGAAATCTTTTTTATCAAATCAATTTTTATTGGAGTAGAGTTACTTTACAATATTGTGTTAGTTTCTTTCAGAAATCATTTTGATCTATGAAAAATTAGCACTCTTTCTCATTCCCAAGCAAATCGCAATAGTTCAATACCTGTTGTTAGTCTTTAGGTGTTCATAAATTGCTAGTAGGTCATGATCAAAAAGCCAACTGTTATGCATTCCATTGCAAGAGGCAGAGATAGCAAATAATAAGAAATTTTCTTTGGCTTTCTCAGCGACAGAGACAAGAAGGCAGGACTGTAAAATTAAAAAGTAAAATGTTGATTTAAATGGCCTCTTTGAACTCTTACGTAAACCTCCTCTAAAGAGTAACTGAACTTTGCATTCCCATCTCAATTTGTTAGTAATCTACCCCCACAAACATGAAATTCCATAATTAACATCAGATTTGATAGGTAAAGAGCTGCAGAATCATCATGTACTTAGTTCTATTTTGATTTTTAAAATTCAAGTGAAAAAAGAAACAGTATTCAATGATTTCTAAGAAATGTGACAAAGTGGGGTGAGAATCCTGAGCCTGCTAGGAATAGCATTACGAACTCAATATTGTCAACAACGCTGTTTTTCTTTTTCTCTTGCAAAATTAAGATAATAATGGAATCATCCTCACATACCTGGTAAAGATTAAATTAAAAAATATATTTCAGGTGCTCAGCAGGACACCGTGAGTTGTGCTTTTTTTGTGTTGGTGATCGCTGTCAGGCACCATTCTTTGCTGAGTGGTGGCGAAATGTCTGCCAGCAGCTTACATTTCACATCTTAGTCTTTATGAATCCCACTGAAAAATAAGAATGATTCTTCCCGAATGTCTTCATCAAAGGCCCTAGAATTGATCCCACGTGCATGGATTGAGTCATTGAGAACCAGAGACCCTACGTTCTGACTGAGTTGGACAGGACTACATGCTCACCCCTCGATGTAGGAAGGAAATTCAGAGGCTTCCAAACCCCCATGGATTGAGGAGGGTGGGAAGTTGTTTCCTCAGAGAATCATGGGTGTCTGACACAGAACCCCAATTCTACAACTCTAACTCAGTATTCCCTAACTATGCATATTACCTCGAAGAATTTCTAAAGTTCTCTGCATCTCAGGATTCTCAATTGTAACATACTCTACTTCATAAAGTTACTGTGAAATTTTAATGAAATTGTATACATGTACGTTAAACTAACTCACATTGGGCACATGGTAGGTACTAAATACATGTTAATTCTCTCTCCCTGTTCTCTCAGGAGCAATACAGAATAAGCACAGCATGGACTGATGTTTGAAGACAGCTATAATGGCTTCGCTAATTTTTTTTCACTATTGCAAGCTCAGAGCCATCCGTTGTTTTTCTAATATCTTGGTTTTAAGCTAGTTCATCATTCTGGTCTCTTCGGCCTTTCATCATCCCACTTGAATTGGAGTGCCCAGATCAGAACACAGTATTCTAACTATTCCATCACGAACTTGGTTGTCATCTCCTTTGAGGTTGAAAGTGAAAGTACTTTCACTGATGACATGAGATTCTGTCACGACAGCGAGTGCAGCATTTTATTTCCGCAGATATCTGGGCCAACTAAAACCCTAGGCTTTCTCCACAAGCTCTGCTGGTAACCTATACTTCTTCTGACCTGTGTCTGTGTAATTGCCCTTTGGAGCATAGCCTAGGAAATTTATTCCTATCCAGTGTTATCCTCTTAGACTTTGACAATTATTTATGCTTATTTATTTGATTAGTGACAACATCCTTTTCAGTATGGATCAACCACTCATCGAAGCTTCATGGCATATACAAATTTGACCAGTGTTCCCTGGTATCTTTATTCTCAATTTGAACAAAATTAGGACCAGGAGGTGATGGAGTCCTTCAGCACAGCACACATTTCCTTCTAAGTTGGCAGTGGTCTCATGAACAGCATCCTAGTCATCCAATCAGTTTTGGAATCCTACTCAAGTACTACTACTAGCCAATATGTATATACGTGTTTATACAGGATTGTGGCAATTAAAATAAGCACAGAAAGTTCTATCCAGTTGCTGAAAACATACAATTTTGTTAATTTTATCATTCAACCAGCATTGCCTTATGCCTTTGTTTGTCACTAATTTCTTAATATTTCTTTCATAATAGGAGCTTCTTCATGTAGGAATTCATAATGTTAATCAAAGCAGTTAGCATCTAGGCTGTGGAAACAGAGGCACATCTAAGCAACTAAATGTCAGGAAATAAAGGTTATGGCCACTAAGACAGTATGTCAAATAGATTTCAGATAAAATCAATAAAAATCACATGTAGACAAGAGGGCTGAAGAAATTTTGAGTTTCAAGTGATGGCTGTTAATTGATTCTGTTCCCAGTGGAACAACCTGCTGGCCTCACTGTCATGGGGAAGAAAAGGTCATTTATCAAATCTGCCTTCTCCCACAAATAGAGGGTTGACTCACCTGTGTAATATATTGCAATGCAAAGAACTCTGCTGTGAGACCTCTCCAGAATGATGGTACCTTTAACAGTTGGAGGTGTTGAGCATAATGACATGGGGATGTATACCTAAAGACTCCCACTCATAATCCAGAGCAGTGAGGGCAGTGAATCACTCAGAGCACACGAAATATGCTCTAGAAACTTTAGAGCATACTAGAAAGGGAAGACTTGCTGGATAGAGGGCTTGGTCCCTAAAGATGTACAGGTGGGAGAGATGCCACAAAACTGAGCATAACTGATAATATGACCTTACTTGTACCTCTTAGCCAGGGAGGACGTGGGGAAGTTTGGAGAAATACACATTATCTATCTATCTATATCTATAGATATAGATATGTATATCTATATCTATATATGTATATTTGATTAGTATAACCAAAATGCCAACAATGACTATGGCTAAGGCTATTTATGGACACTGAGATTGTGAATAATGAGTAATTTTTAAATTTTATGTATCTATTATCTATATCCTTTTAAAATTTCCCATAATCAGCAGGATTTTTTAATCACAAAAATACTCATAAAATGAAATATATGACTTACAAAAATATGGTAGGATTCCCACACGCTCCATTATTTTACATGCTTCATTATCAATCTGCCTATCCAAGAGGCAGAATGGTTTAGTCTTGAAAATTCTGCTCAGTGCAAAAGAAACAATCTTTTGAAATGAAGTTGGAAGTAAGGTGTTTTATTTTAGAAGAAGAACAACAGTAAGCAACAGCTAATAAGGACACTAAGCTATCCTTGCCCACGTCCAAATGCACTGTCTTATTCTCTCTCAAATACCTACTTGCTGTCATGAGCATGCAGTAACTTCCTGACAACATGCTATGAATCAACTGCTACTGTACACATATAGAAGTGTAACTACAGCAATACAAAACAGGAAGGGACAAGTAGTAACTAAGTCACACTGGAGTCTTGTCTATGTGGGAGACTGTATGAGGATTATAGATGTGATGAACCAAAAATAATTTCTATTTCTATGAATGCTAATGCCTCGAGACTGGTTCTGAGTTCTATACAAAGCAACAAATTGTAGAACAGCACAAATTAATAAACTAAAGTTCAAAAAAGAAATAAACAAAAACTCTTAGTTCCACATATTCCCAATATAGTTATAATTATTAACTTGTAACACTTGAACTTTTGAACAAGATTGCTTAGGTTTATTCTGCTTCTTAAGCTTACATTGAAAGAATGTGAGAATAATAAATACTCGCCAAACAAACACTGACATGATTACAAAATGCTTTGGGTGCTCTTTCAGAGCATCACAATACCATTCATTACCAGAACCAAAGACACAGTGTGTGAGCAGACAGCAAAGTTCTGAGTTCATAACCAAAGTCAGGCCAAAGAACATCCAGGCTACTTTTCAGAATGTAAATGACATAGTTAAACATACTGCAAAGGGGAAAGCTCTTCACCAGCTCCATGTAGGTAGGTAGGTAGGTAGGTAGGTAGGAAGGAAGGAAGGAAGGAAGGAAGGAAGGAAGGAAGGAAGGAAGGAAGGAAGGAAGGAAGTGCCTTAAATAAGGACTCAGGTGGAAACAGTGATTAAATAGAACTACCCCAGGAAAGTAAGCAGTGTCAGAGACATGTGGGCATTTCAAGTCTTAACTGCCATCTTGAATTGCAACCAAATACAAAGCAAGTATAGTAACTAGTATAAATTAATGCTGATTCACAGAAATGGAGATTTTAAAAAATTAATAACAAAGTTTTTACATTTTCTCCCTTCTGCATTTGATCTCTGGAGAAGACATGACCCAAACATTCCAAAATAAGGAGTTACTATTCCTCTAAGAAGTATTTATCATTCCCTACAATTTCCACGTTAGTTTGATAGACTTTGCAGGGGATCTGTAAGAATAAAAGAGAGTTCATATGTACATTAAAGTTGTAAGTCAAGATTCGTTATGATAAATGACTATTTAATAGTTCAAAGAACTATAGGGGTTCAAAGGGGAAAGCCACCAATTTCAGTCAAAGTGCTTAAAAACGGTGCCATGAAAGAGGTGGCACTGGGCCTAGAACTTAAACAATGGATAGGACTTCAACAGCAAGAAATGAGGGGAAGCTATTTAATTTAGGCAACATGTATGAAATTTCTTCTGTGAAGAAACAGGAGTGAACAGGGCCACTGGCCAAAGGATTTATGAAATAATAAATAGTAGAGTAGGCAGTATTAGAGTGTGAGGGATTTTAAATGGAAGTTTAAGGAGTTTGATATAAAACAGTTCAGTTATTTTGTGTTTTTAGGAAAAGGTTCTGGAATCAAGATCTAGGGAAGTTAATTTGCATTTCATGACAAATTGAAGAGGAGAGCAATTAGAAGTCACATGACCCTCTAGGAACAGGACTACAAAGAGGAGTGAGGAAAGTCGGAACTAGACTTGGGCAGCAAGAATGGATGGGGGAGTGAGGTATTAGAAACTGATTGAGGAGGATCATAGGCCAAAAATGAGAGAATATGAAAAAAAAATCACAGGGAGGCCTGAATTCTTTGGAGTAATAGTTGGAGCTAATCAGATAAATGACAACTTCTAGAGAAAACATGTAGTAAGACTGAAGAAAGGAAGTTGAGGGAAATTTGGGGGGAGGTTGGGAAGGCAAAGATGAAGTCAATGATGGGGAAGTCAGAAAAATAGAAGCATCACAGTCATGGAGTTGGAGAGAAGGCAAAGTCATGAAGCAGGTAGTCAATAACATCCAATAAGGCAGAGAAGACAAGAAGGGTGAATAGAGAAAAGTACAGCCATCAGATTTCATGAATAGATAATCGCTAACTGTTGAGTAAAGAGTTTTGTATGAACTGTG